TTCACCAGTGAGACTGAGACACTATATCACAACTAAAAAGAGGGTTGAGTCTCCTTTAAATTTCAAGAACATTCACCAGCTTTTTTCTTTTACTTTGCACACTGAACCTGTGTTGGAGCTCTTAATTTTGAACTCTCAAAGTGCACCAGATTTATGAATTTAACTTTAAAATTTACAAAATGTTCTTACGGGGGGCCATGCCCCCGGACCCCCCTACAGGGATTGAGGACCACCCACCACAGTCTCACAAACTCCTGTGGGAAACACTACACACCTTCCAAAAAGTTCAACTTTTGTCTCATCAGTCCACAGAATATTTGCCCAAAAATCTTGGGGATAAACAAGATAAGCTTAATTGAGGCAAGTGAGGCCTGCAGTTCTTTAGATGTTGTTTTGGGTTCATTTATGACCTCCTGGATGAGTCGTTGCGCTCTTGGAGTAATTTAAAGGCTGGCCACTCCTGGGAAGGTCCACCACTGTTACAAGTCTTCTCCATTTGTGGATAATGGCTCTGACCGTGGTTCGCTGGAGTCCCAAAACCTTAAAAATGGCTTTATATCTATTTTGTTTCTCATCTGTTCTTGAATTTCTTTAGATCGAGGCGTGATGTGTTGCTCTTTAAGCACGCTTTACTTTGTCAGACAGGTTCTATTTAAGTGATTTCTTGATTCAACAGGTCTGGCAGTAATCAGGCCTGCGTGTGGCTAGTGAAATTTAACTCGGCTTTCTAAAATAATGTGGTTAATCACAGTTCTTTAGTGATTTAACAGGAGGGGCAATTAATTCACATCGGGCCAGGTAGGTTTGGACAGCTAATTTCCCTTAATAAATGAAATCTTCATTTAAAAACTGCATTTTGTATTTACTTGCATTATCTTTGTGCAATATTGAAATTTGTTTGATGATCTGAATCTTTTAAGTGTGACAAATATGCAAAAATGTAAAAAATAGGAAGGGGGCAAAAACCTTATCATGGCACTGTATATATATATATATATATATATATATATGAACGATCCAGACTAACTCAGAACCAGCTGAACAAAAGCATTTTAAGATTCCTTATTTTCATTTAAGCACATTTCAAAAATATTCTTGGCCATATATTTTTTCGCAGCTAATATTTTTCATATCTGATATCTTCTTTGGAAGGCTACCTCTAAAATCTTTTTTTTTTTTTTGTCTAATTAAAATAAACTGAAATAAAAAAGTATTTTAATTAATTGCAAAGGCAACATTTCTGTTAACTGTTAAAATAACATAAACAAATGAAACCTAAATAATAATATATAAATTAATTAACAAATTAATAAATAAATCACAAAAGCACAAAACAAATTTACTAGAAATTTAAATAAAATGGAAACAAAAAGTAAAATAATAATAATAAAAGCAAATTCAAATATGAATAAAACCTATAATAGTATATGAAACATTACTCTAATAACACTGGTTCATACCTGCTTAACAGCTTTTGGCGCCTCCTGGACTTCTGTAAGACAGAGACAAATAATGCATCATTTGGTTGGTTAAACAGCACACGTCATCTTGCACATGAAGGAATCTGAGACGCTCACACCTTTCTTGAGCAGTTTGGCCACACCTGAGTCCGGTGTTTCTGGAGACGTAGCAGAGCTGCCTCCTTCATCGATGAGCTGGATCTGAAGAAAGAAACCAAGAGATGCATGACTAGGTCTGTCTGTGTGGATTCACACGTTTGTCTTCTGTGAGAAACCAGACTGCTTCCCCGTGAGGATGTTCACAGGCCTTGATGTCAGGATAGAGGCTGGTTTATATCCGCACACGCTGGCTTCAGCACAGGTTTGGGTGGCAAAGGCAGTTTCTCACTCAAAGCTGAGTGATGATTCCAGAAGATCTGCAATATACTGCACGAGTCATTTGGGCTTGAGTTGTTTTGTTCTGGACTTTATGGACGCTGTCACTGCGGTGAGACACTACAGGCAAAACCACTTTTTCATGCACTGGTCAGTTTAGAAATGTAGGTGTATTTTGCTGGATTTTCTGATTTATGGAGTGATAAAAAGAGTAATCCAGAATCCCCTTTGGAAAAACCTTTAACTCTAATATGACTACAAAATAACACAAGAACACAAGGTCAAAATTATAAATTTTTCTTTTATGCCAAAAATCATTAGGATATTAAGTAAAGACAAAACAGGGATGATAATAGGTGAGCACCAGCCAATGAGATTGCCGCATTAGTTCCGCCCACTACCGGAGAACGCGGCAGTTCTTAAAAGCTGAAGAATTCTAAAGGAACTCCGTTATTTTGACAGCAAAATACAACAAAGAATATCGTTTACATGTAGCGCGTCAATTCTCTCTCTCCCGCTGCGTGTGTGTGAATCAAAGCGACGGCGAGTCGTGCGCCTTCACACTAG